CAATAATAACTCTCATTACTGAAGATAGAGCTGGATGTTTTGAAAAAATATGAATAGTGAATATGAAAAAACGTAGTCTATTTATTAACTAAATAAAGGTAATAATGAAAAAATATGTATAAAAGTTTCAAAACGTCATTTATTTGACTAATGGTTGATAAAATAAAAATAACATTTAAAAAGAAATATGAGGTAGTATATTTTTGTTGTCAATGTACAACACTCAATTACTTACAAAAATAATTATTTTATGATTTACATTTATACAAAAGCTTAATGAAATTTATTTTAAAAGTTAAAAAATAAAATCTAACTTAATTTTAATTTAAATATGTGATTAAATTAAAAAATAAACTATTTTAGAAAAATAAACTAAATTAATTTAACTAAAGATATTTATAATTACTTAAATTTTAAATTTTAAAACAATATTATTTGGTTTATATATTTATGTAAAAATATAAAGTTAGTTGGGGTTTAAATTGTGAATTATAATGTAAAAGTAAGCTTTTTGTAGAGAATAACTTAAAATTCAAATCCTGAAATGAAAAAGTAAAAAATCCAAGACTTATTACGACGCAATACCTAAAAATCAAGCCCTACACTAGAATTTCCCAATTTAAATTGAGCAAAAAAGTAGTATAATTATTGTAGTTTGAAGGAGGTGAAAAATAGAAAAAGTCAATAAAGACAAAACCAATGATAGTTCATATAATTCAGTGCCACTTAATAACACGGTCTAATTGGTCCTTAAAATTAAAAATATTCCAAGTCCAAACGACGTCGCTTTTCTCTTATGCACAACCTACCGTCCAAATTTACATCGACAGCTCACAGCTGCAATTCCTCGAGTTGCTTCACACACACATACACACACTTCACATGAACAGCCCTTTCTTATTCTGTAAATATGCTTTTCTTAACTCCAAATCTATCCTAACCAGACTGGAAATTCCTCGTCATAATTGCTCCATAAATTTGTTCATCTCGAAGCTTCAGGTGAAACACAAGGTACCATTCTCGTTCAAATAGAGATAAACAAAGTGTTTTGATGATCGGAATTTCAGCGTGAATGTGTGGGTTTTTGCGTGCGTGACCGAGATTTGTTGTTCTATGGAGGCGGGGAAGCAAACGGCGTCGTTTGAAGAGATGTCGATGGAGAAAAGTAAGAGCTTCGTCACGGCACTACAGGTAAATCTGCTTGTATAGTGTGTGTTTTTTTTTCGTAATTTAACTTTTCGAGGTGAAGTTTTGGTTGTGAGTTATGGATCAGATGTTAGAAGGACTGAAAGTTGTGTTAGTTTTGCGTAAAGTTTTCATAGATCGCTTGAGTTTTTTGAATTCACATTCGCTCTGTTTGTTTGTACTTTGTTTATAGGGAGATGCTACAGTCCGTCGGGGTTTGTAGCCGTTAGATCATCATGTAACCGTCGAGGATAGTTGATCTAACTGTTACAAACCGTCGTACCCCCGATGGAACGGGACCTTAGCATTTCTCTTCTTTATAATTCACAAATTTTGTCTGATAGGCGTGTCTTATATTTTTCACAGGAACTGAAGAACCTCAGACCTCAACTGTATTCAGCTGCAGAGTACTGTGAAAAATCATATCTGAACAGTGAGCAGAAGCAAACGTGAGATTTTGGTCCAACTTGACTGATCATTATAAAGGAATCATTTGATCTACAATTTATTCTTTGAACTTTAGTCTTTGAGAATGTTTGTTCAGTCTCTTGTTAGTTTTTTCGTCTGACGAGAATGAAAATTTCACAAATCCCAATATTTCTCTTTTGCTTGATCTTCGTGCTAATTAGGGGAAAAAAATTGAAGTGTATTCTATTTGGCGACTCAAATTGTAAATTTAAGCTACAGATTTTCTAATTTCTGCACTAGGTTCATGGACAATTTGAAGGATTATGCTGTACGTGCGCTGGTCAATGCAATTGACCACCTTGGTACGGTTTCTTACAAGTTGAGTGATGTTATCGAGCAGCAAACATTGGAGATCTCATCCATTGATCTGAAAGTCACCTGTCTAAATCAGGTAAATTGTTAACTTGTTCACTTTGTATAGATTTTGAGAGAAATAAAAAACATGGCTGAAGGATAAACGTGCTATTTGTTCGCTAGAAACTTCTGACCTGTCAAACGTATACGGAGAAAGAAGGTCTCAGGCAGCAGCAATTATTAGCAATCATCCCGAAACATCACAAACATTATACTTTGCCTAGTAAGGTTAAGGCTAATTTGATTCCTGTTTTTGCCTCGACGAATTTAGAAACCATATTTAAGTCTCTAGTTTTACGATTTCATTGATCCCATGCTAGATTCTTTCAACAAGAAGGTGCATTTCAATCCACATATACAGACGGGTCCTAGGAAAACCGCTCAAGTGAGAGGTTGATTTTTATCCTTCAGTTGGCTCGTCGATTCAGTATTCATTATATTGAGCAGCAAAACAATATTGTAGACTTTATGCTCACATCTGATTTCTTTTCTGTCGGTTTAGGTGCTTCTGCTGCAAAAACTCTTTCTTGGCATATGGCTTCAGAAAGCAAGTCGACATTGAAAGGATCATCAAGAGGTATTATGAGGTTAGTCCTTGAAGTTGGTTTAAATATCCTGATTTTTTTTATTTATTTTTTCCTTTCTATTCATCAAATAGTTTTCTGGGCAAGTAAAAAAATTATTTTGCTTGCTTTTACAGCGTCGAGGACTCCACAATTGACGGACAAACATCTAGTGTATTTAACTCGTTAGGTATGCAAACACTAATTTTTTTAATATTGTTATGGTGAATAATGTGCACCTTGCAGACAGACAATCTCATCTTTGTAAAACTCATTTGGTTTTTGTTGAGTAGACGCTCGAGAGAACAAAAAGTTTAAATCTGCCCCTGCAACAAGAGTCGCCATGCAGACCCTCGGTGTTACACAACGAGTAAATTCGAAATCCCCTGCTAATGATGGTTTATTTTACTTACATTTTAAGTTTGCTCACCAAAAAAGGGATTAGGAGCCTTTCTCTACGATTACAAAAAGTAACAGTAAAGCTTTGTCTTATTTGCAAAATATCCCCACTATACTAAATACTCGATCGATATTGTTTCTATATTACAAATTGCACCTTAGATAGAGGAACTTGTTACGTAACTAGGAATGTTAATGGCGTGTTCTGTAGTTCCTTAAGGCGATTCTCGAGGGAGTGGAGAAAATTTGATAAATCTTAAAATTATCCATCTCTAAGTTGTGTTGCGTTGTGACCTTTTAGCTCTCAATTCATTTTAACACTATTAAATTTTTTAACAAATTTCATCGTCTAAGCTATGTCACTTTATAATATCTCATATGCTTTGATAGCTTGTGCAACCATTTCTTAATAATTTCAATCACACGTATTTGGGAGCATATTTAAACAAATTTAGTCGAACATTATCCAAGAAATTCATGGTTTTTGCATTGCTATATTGCACGATCACAAAATTTTGTATGAGACGGCCTAACTGTTATGTACTTTTAATGATGGTACTTTTTTTATGACTGCATATTTATACTATAAAAATACTGTTGTTTATGTTGGTTTTAGAATGTGACGTTTCAACTTGTGAAAATATGCATATCTATTAACATTTTATGACTAACTACCTAATCGTTAGGTCTGATTAACACCAACTGATTGATATTCGGTAACTTGACTAACTGGCTTTCTATCTGCCACAAAAATAAAGAAATAAATAAATAAATAAATTCATCTTCGGTAGTTACCTTTTGTGATCATAGGAAACTTTCTTTTGCAGGATCCTGTGGAGGGCTCGAAACCTGTTGTTCCTTATAAATCATTTTGCAATACAACCGAAAAGGACGTTGTTCGGCCACCCGTGCGTAGCAAGAGCATGATTTCTGCTTTTTTCGTCAAGCAAAAGGGAACTGGTGTGAGAACAAATGCATGAATTATTGGGAATTAGAGGGAGTGTATGCAAACTCTTGGCACAAATAAGTGATACTCAGTTCCTAACTGGAAAAAATGCTAACTTAACCCCTCAGAAAAAGAAACACACATTTTTTTTTTCCTGAGTTTGCATACACTCCCTGAGCAAAGCAAAAGTTCTGACTAATCATGCATTTGACCTATGAGAAAAGTATGTTTGTTCTTGCTTTTACACTTGTGACTATGGAGATTTATAGGAAAATTTTTACCTCCACACGATGTTTTGTGTATCGTTGGATCAAAACATACTCGTATTTGGTGTAATTTATTGTCTCGTGTGGATTGGTAAACTTGGAAAAAGAGGAAATAAACTATGGATTTGTGATGTGAGATATATCTCTTCTATATTTATGTCTTTGTATTTAAATAGGAAATAAATTTAGAAAGTAATAATGTCAAATTGTTAGATAAATGATGAGAAACAAGCTTCATTTTGGAGTTTGTTTGATCAATCAAATCGGTTAATTTTCTTGTTTACCATAGAGTTTTTTTTTAGTACTCCCTCTTTTTTTAAATAAATGTCGTTTTGACGTTTTTGATTCATTCATTTTGCTATGTATCTAGACATTAATATGTCTACATACATAGCAAAATGAATGAATCAAAAATGTCAAAACGACATTTATTTAAAAAAGGAGGTAGTACTTTTTTTTTTTTTTGAACTCAAAATGCTTTTGAAAAAAATTCATAAGAGTAACAATTTTGGTGAAGATTTTAAAAAAGCAATACCACATAATAGGTAGAAATTTTTATTATTTACTATATGCATATCTAACTGCTAAATTCGATAATTTAATCAATACAACTATTTATCCATTATCGACTAATAACTTATAAGGAAATGTTACGATCTCGTTACGGTACCATCCTGTCGAGTGTTTTAACCGTTGGATGTGGATCTAACGTCCAACGGTTAAAACACCCGACGGGATGGTACCGTAACATTTCCCTAAACTATAATAAACAACATCCAACTTTTTCAAGGTTCTCAAAGATGATAAATCAGTTTACAAATTTGGTAACAAATTAAAAAAAAAAAAAAAAAAAAAAAAAAAAAAAAAAAAAAAAAAAAAAACAAAAGGGAGCATTTCAGTCAGAAATGCTCCCCTACCCACGATGGACACATGTTACTGAAATGCTCCCCTACCCACGATGGACACATGTTAATACGCCCACCGTGTAGGTGGCATGCACTCATTGGTGATTTATTTTTTTAAATATATTAACATCACCAATGAATGTATGCCACCTACGCAGTGCACATAATAACATGTGCCCACCGTGAGTATGTGAGCATTTTGCATTTCAAAATGGGCTTTACTGTAAAAAAAGCTCGCTATAGGCCGATATCATATTCGGCCCATAGTTGAGGTTTAGCCTAAAAGCAAAGATCCGTAACCGTAAGTGCGTGTCTTCCCCTAAAATCTGAAGCTTGGTGTTTACAATTTAGGGATTAGGGTTTATTTCACTATTGGAGCATAATTCCGAAGCGTTCATAATCTGAAAATCTAACAAAGCGAGTGTCACTTTGTCTTCTCCGGATTTACTGCAACTATGGGAAAAGCGAAGAAAGCCCCCAAATTCGCGGTGATGAAGAAGATCGTCACCCACAAAGCTATTAAACAGTATGATTCTCGTCTTTTATGCATATGTGTTTTTCGTTTAGCCGGATTCGAGCTAAATAAGCTGCCAATTTGGATCTTTTTTGTTTCGCAGTTACAAAGAGGAGGTCATAAACCCTAACAGGAAGGATTTGAGCAAGGAAAAGCTCCCCAAAAATGTGTATGTTTTTGGGTTTTTAATTTTGTGTTTTATGGGTTTGTTTCATTTGTCCATTTCAACAATTTCAGCTGAATTTGGTGCGAGATTTTATTTTTTTTTCGCTTCCTGGGATTTTTAAAATTTTGATTGTATGTTATGTTTTATGTTTTGGTCTGCCTGTTATTGCTGTAGTATTGAATTAGTGCTGTTTTTTCAATGCAGACCACAAGTTTCCTCTGCACTTTACTTCAAGCATAATACTGCATTGGGGCCACCGTACAGGGTCTTGGTAGATACAAACTTCATAAATTTCTCTATCCAAAATAAAGTGAGTGCTGCCAGTATCTTCTTGTTATTTTTAAGCGTTTTGTTGAAATGATCTGTTTTATGTTGGGTTAAATAAGTAAATAATTAAGTGTTGGGGAAACAATGGAGCATTAATGTTCCGAATGTTTGAATTTTGAAAATCGTGGATTTTTAATCTGAACCGTCTTTCATATCTGGCAATGGCATGAGAAGTAGTTCTCTGTCATGATTGGCCCATCTAGATTGTAGAAAGTTTGTTATTATGATTTATCATTTGGTTCATTATTAGTAATATCGTTGTATCATCTGCTTTTATTGTTCCTCTCATCTGTAGTTACTCAGTTAAGTAGAAAACTTTTAAATGTTCAATATATGTGCGATTTTCTGTTTATCCAAGTAGCCCTACTATCCTGATTGTGATTGTTTTGAACAAGCCAACAACTATTAATGTAGGAAGAAGTTTTCCTTTTTTTTTTT